TCCCACCAGGTGTTAATGCCATCTGTAGCCCTGACAGAAACCTAAGCCTATAGCTTCAGAGTTGTCTACATAAAAGATGGTCAATATATATTTTTAGCTATATCAAGTGTTGCAAACTCAAGTGGCTTTAGGATCTATATAGATAATATGGAAGAGAGAGGCAGGTCACAAATGAATGTGGCAAACTTGAAGTTTAGTGGACAGCCACCAAACTTCAGTCAGCTGCATTGTCATGTGAGAATATAGGTCAGGGACTGCTGGGATCTACTAATTATTCAGAAAACAGAAATCCAGATATTTATGTGACTCTCCCAGTTTTTAAAATCTGAAGTCTCAAATTTTTTTAAAACTTCCATACTTCCCAAACAAAACTTATCTGTGGACCAGATAAGTCCCAGCTCTCCAGTTAGCACCCCAATCCCACAAGCATGTGTCCCACGCCCCTCAGGCTGGAACCAGTTTTACTCTATAGTCAGACTCCTGACTGTGGAGCCTGTTCAAGGACTTACGAGACCTTCAGCATGGCACAGGAGGCTTCAGAAAATTCCAAGGAGCTCTTCTACACTCAGCTGCCTCCCTCCTTGGGTATACATCCTTTACCTCTGCATGTTATCAGCTGCAACAGAGTTCCAGGAGCAGATCCTTGGTGGCAGCACTAAAGACAACATGTTCCTTATCTAGAGCCTATCTTAGGCATGGGAGCATCAGGGTCACTGAATCCACATTCGGAAAGTGTGACCCAAGTTTGCTACTGATTCTCTAGAATTTTCCCTAGTGGAGTTTCCTTCCCTAGAAGACATCTTCAGATGACCATAAGCTGGTAGGAAATTCCAATTCTCTCCCAAAATAGTCTACATAAAGCTCCAGGCAAGCATATTTATTATCCTCTCCAACACCGTAGTAGCAATTTTTTTTTAACTTTCTCCACTCTTTTAGATGACGTCTAAGAATTATTAACAGACTCCTTGCCCCCACTCATTATGCCTAACAAACATTTTCTTTTCTTTTTTTTTTTTTTTTTTTTTTTTTGAGTTGGAGTCTCACTCTGTCACCCAAGCTGAAGTGCAGTGACACACTCACAGCCACCCCAGCATCGACCTGCTGGGCTACGGCAATGCTTCCGCCTCAGCCTTCCAAGTAGCCAGAACTACAGGGGAGTGCTACCATGCCCGGCTAATTTTTGATTTATTGTAGAGACAAGGTCTCACCAAGTTGCCCAGGCTGGTCTTGAACCCGCGGGCTCAGGCAATCCACTCGCCTTGGCTTCCCAAAGTGCTGGAAATACAGACTGAACCAAACATCTTCTTAATGCTCTTAATGTGCATAAAGGGCTTAAGAATGGTCTATGGAAAATTCTGGGTATGCTGCCTCTTTATGAATTTTGCCAATAATTTAGACTCATTATTACTTGTGAGTCAGCACTGGGGATTTTTACAAAATTCTCTCTTCCTTTGAGAATTTGAACCCAAGTAATAATGTTATTGAGTATCCCGTTGTACAGTTGTGTTACATGGAATTGTATCAAAGTGAATCAGGTTGTCTGCTGAGGTCATGTTAGATCAGTGTCATCGTTCTTTGTCAAGGGGTATCTCTTGAATTGAGAGATCAGGATGTACACCATTAGCTAGGACATTAGTATTCCATTAACTAGAACCTGCTTGGTTCAGATTTCCTTTGACCCATGTTTTAGACCTTTCGGTTGGAAACTCAGAAACCCATGCCCTCACGTACATTCCCTCCCCCTGACCTCTGACTCCCAGCCTAATGGCTTCCTCAGTCTCTCATTTCCCCATATCTCCCTGGTCTGGCCAGGTACCACAGCTTCACTGTGGTGGATAGAGGCTCCAGCATTATAGCCTCAACTCCTGAGGTATGCGTATATGTAAGCAAAATGAAACCATCATCTTTGAGAGATAATCAACTTTGAAGACTGATTTTTCTCTTTTGAACAGGTCAGAAATTGTGCCCATAGAAATATCTGTACATGACATTTGAAAGTACAAATGGGCCGGACGCGGTGGCTCAAACCTGTAATCCCAGCACTTTGGGGGGCTGAGGCGAGAGGATTGCCTGAGCCCAGGAGTTCGAGACCAGCCTGGGGAACTTGTCTCTGCCTCGTCTCTACAATAAATAGAAAAATTAGCCAGGCGTGGTAGCACGCGCCTGTAGTTCTGGCTACTTGGAAGACTGAGGCAGAAGAATGACCTGAACCCAGCAGGTTGATGTTGGGGTGGCTGTGATGCTGGGGTGGCTCAGCCTGGACAACTGAGTGAGACTGACTCAAAAAAAAAAAAGAAAGTACAAATGGATTTTTTTTTTTAAGCTGATATTCATATAAGTCATTAAACAGGGCTATTTCAAATGTATTGTTTGGAAATTCATAATCAGTGTATAGATTGAATGCTACAGGCACCAAAATAATTTGGGGGTAAGACTAGGAAATGTCAGCATCTGAAATGAAAGCTAATGAGAATCAGTATAGAAGTGGATAAGATTAGCTGGGCATAGTGGTATGCACTGTAATCTCAGATACTCAGGAGATTGAAGTGGGAGGATTGCTTGAGCCCAGGAGTTCAAGTCCAGTCTGGGCAACATAGTGAGTCTCTATCTCAAAGAAAAAAAGGGGGGGGCAAAAATAGATAAGATTAATTAGCCGGGCTTGGTGGCTCAGCCTGTAATCCCGCGTTTTGGGAGGCTGAGGTGAGTGGATTGCCTGAGGCTGTGGGTTCGAGACCCACCTGGGCAACTTGGTGAGACCTCATCTCTACAATAAATCAAAAATTAGCCGGGTGTGGTAACACATGCCTGTAGTTCTGGCTACTTGGAAGGCTGAGGCAGAAGGATCGCTGGAGCCCAGCAGGTCGAAGCTGCGGTGGCCAGGAGCGGCCACTGCACTCCAGTCTGGGCGATGGAGTGAGAATCCAACTAAAAAAAAAAAGATTAATCAATTACAGTGACCCACCCTAAGAGATAATTTGTTAAATGTGGTGTCCGTTCATATGTCCACTCTATAAGCATTTGGTAGGTGCCTGATATGACCCAAGAGATGTGCTCAGCAGGGAATTCTGGGTCCCACCTTCTAGAGTTGGAATAGGAGTTTGCATTTCTAGCAAATTCCAGGTGAAGCTAATCCCAAAACCCAGGCCCACCTCACTCCAATCAGATAAAAATTTCTGGGAGTGTGAGCCAGGCATCAGTGTTTCCTAAAGACCTCCAGGTGATCCCAGTATACAGCAAACTTCAAGGATCACTGGTAGAGAATGAGGGGCAAGTTTTAAACTCTTGACAAAGATTTTCTTCTTGACCAAGAAGAAGATTTACTTCTTCTTAAGTAGGCCTCAACCTAGGCCTATTAGGACTTGGACAAACATTAACATAGTTTCTAACAGCTCAAGACTGCATCCCTAACATGATCCCAGACCCCCTTAAAGTCCCTACCTGAGAAAACTCAGGGCTGTGAAAAGAACTTACTGTTTGTTTCAGTTAACACCTGTTGTTAGAGCCCCTGACTCACTCTCTGCAGAGGGGTAGTAGCCTTACTTCAATAAAGGATAGTTAACAAATCCAGAGGGTTTTCACATACGCTACTTCCTACTTTTTGTAAATTGTCACATTTCCTGACTCTACCAAGTCCCTGCTAGGCCCCTCCCTATTCTCCCATTCTCCCCTGAAAATGCACACTCACCTTTGCACAAATTCAAGTTGAGTTCAGTTCACACTAGGCTCATTTCTCTATTGCTGTAGTATATTAGTAAGTAACATCACCCTTATGACTTGTTTTGGCTTTTTTTTAAGTCAGAGTCTCACTCTGTCTCCCAGGCTGGAGTGCAGTGGCACACTCACGGCCACTGCAGCCTTGACTTGCTAGGCTCAGGTGAACTATCTGCCTCAGCCTTCCAAGTAGCTGGAACTACAGGCGCATGCTATGACACCTGGCTAATTTTTAAATTTATTTTAGAGAAAAGGTATTGCCAAATTACCAGTGCTGGTCTTGAACCTCTGGCTCAGGCAGTCCTCTTGCCTTGGGCTCCCAAAGTGCTGGGATTACAGGCTTAAGGCACCGCACCTGGTCAACCGTTATGACTTTAACTAGTATCCAGTTTGGCTTTAATAGTCTTCATTAACCAACTAAAGATCTACCTTCTATTTTCTGAAAAGGGAAGAAAATGATTTTTTGGCTTCTGAACTAACCAAGAGCAAGCTGCCTGTAAGCATGAATTTTATTTGACTGCAAGGTTCAGGAAAAAAATGGAAAAAGGCACAAGTTCCAAACTTAGGGAGAAAACATTTAAATGTTCTGGATGAGGCTGGGTGTGGTAGCTCACACCTATTAACCCAGTACTTTGGGAGGGTGAGGTGGGAGGATCACTGAGCCCAGAAATTTGAGACCAACCTGGGTATATAGTAAGACCTTGTCTCTAAAAAGAAAATTAAAAAATTAGCAGGGTAGGGTGGTGCACGCCTGTAGTCTCGGGAGGCTGAGGTGGAAGGATCTCCTGGGCCTGGGAGGCTGAGGCTGCAATGAGCTGTGATCGTCCCACTGCACTCCAGCCTGGGTCACAAAGTGAGACCCTGTCTCAAAAAAAAAAAAAGAATGAATGAATGAATAAACCAACAAGCAAAAATGTTATTGAGGACCAGAGGGGCCTGCTGCACTGTGACCTCCTGATCAAGTCCAACCTTGAACAGCGTGGTGTAGTGGAAACAGCATGGGCTTCGCTGAAAGCAGGAAGACCTGGGTTTGCCTGCTTAAGCTGGGTGACCTGGGCCTTGGTTTCCTCATTTAGAAACTGTGAGCCACCATGCCTGACTATACTTTATGCTTATAAGTACAAACTACCTGCCTTCACTATTAAGGGCTCCTCCAAACCCATTTTCTCACCGTTAAATTCAAATCTTCAGCATCCCGAAGAGCAGAATCTATAAGACACATGCCTTTAAGCTCTAAAACTGGTTAATTAATCAATGTTTCAGAGGCCAATTAAGCAACACAGGATATGTTTGTTTCAGGGAAGAGCACAGTTTATTTCTACTTTATATTCATGTCACAAGCTGAACCACAGAAGCTGCCTGTCAGTACTCTACCCTCAGCCCTTTCTCTAACCAGCCTGCTGGAACCTTCGGGATCAAGCTGGCTTACCCTCTTCATTTGTGTCCTGATGTGGGTCATGAACCCTTAAGAGAATGATAAAAACTATGAACTCTCCCTCAAGGAAAATGCACATACACATAAGCACACAAATTCAGCATACAATTTTGAGGGGTTCATAGAGTCCCTGAAGCATGTCCTTGGACTCTGAATGAAGACCCCTGGTCTAAACCATGGCCTGCAGTGGGCAGCAGGACAGCTGGAGCCCACACTGCGAGTTGCATTCAGGAAAACTGGGGACGCTGTAGAACTTGATCAGTTTTTTGAAGGCACTTTTCTTCAGCATCATCATCTCTTCTGGAAACCTGGAAAAGATTCTGACCCGAGAGGCGCCCCCATTCTTTGCAGAGCCATCCATGGGCAGCGGCTTCTGAGCGCTCACAGGCACACTGTTGCAACTGAGAGAACGCACTGTTTTCTTCTTATTCTGCACAGACAGGTAACTGAATAGGAAAGAGGACAGCTTGTGCTTGGTGGCATCTGGGGCCTCTTCTGAAAAGCAATCATCAACCGGATCCAGCAGGGTTTCAAGATGGTGGCTGTTATCCCTTCTCATAGGACGGGCTCCCTCCTGCTGAGGCTGCTTGATGATCTTCCTGGCCTGAGTTGGGTCATCTTCTGGCCCATTGACGGGCTGAAGGGACACACCGCTGGCCAAGGCGGTGGAGGCCGTGATTTGAGGGATGAGGTTCCTGGCCTGAGGGCTAGGTTGAGAAGTACAGTGCTGACTCAGGATGAGAGTGGCAGCATCTCGAATGAGACTCCAGTCTCTCAGGATGTCATCCCTGGTGGTAAACTGGGATGTTACAGTGAAACGGATGATCAATTTGTCCTGGATAGTGGCCGGGATGAGGAAGAGACGGCCAGCTTTAGCTATTTCTTTCAACACGCTTTCTGTGAGACAATTAGGACCCTGTTTGAAGGACAAAGAGAAGTGATGTCTTCATCACACTCCCATCAGCATCCCCAGAAGCCCAGCACTTATGTTTCAAGAGGCTCAATGACCACCAACTCCATAACATCAAATAACATCATTCACAAGAGGCCATGGAAGATGCCATTACCTTTAGGCGAAAAACCACCAGGCCAAGATGCCTCTTGGCAGGAATTTCAAAGAAAGGGTCGTTTCTGACCAGAGATTCGAAATATTTAGCCATTTCAGTACCCTGGAATTACAAGTACAAAGAGAACTGAGATTGATAATCAGCGAGGAATATGCACAAACTTTCACACTACAAAATAGTTTTAAACTGGTGACCCATTTCAATCATAGAGACCTGTGTGACTTCTGCCTCATAATCTTCTCCATTTGATTTTGTTCACAATCTGAGAGCTAGAAAATCTTCAATGGCTCCCTAATTCCTGTCACATTAGATACACCTCAGAAACTTGTGAAGCAAGTAATAAGAGCAGAGCTGCTGTCTGTGGCCCGCACCACTCTAGGTCAAGGGCAGGCAAAGTACAGCCATAACCAAACATAGCCCCTACCTGTTTTTGTAAATTCAAGGGGAAAGACTCAGAATTTATTTATTAAAAAATTGTGTATTTATTCTTGCCTGTTTAAGCTTCACTCACCTTCAAAGTACTCTGTTCAATGCAATACACCTATCAAGTCGCTTTTTCTACCTCTCAAAACAGTGTTCTAACTCATCGATTTTGCTGTTTTTTAGTGATTCTGCCATTTTTTGTTTCACCTTTTCCAGATCGGCAAAACATTTCCCTTTAAGGACTTTCTTTATCCAGGGAAACAAGCACACAAAAACAGCAGTTGCTTGGGGTGAGATCTGGTGAATCGGAAGGGTGAAGCATGGGGATTATCTCATTTTTGGCCAAAACTGCTAAACACCTTGCCTAGTATGGGCAAGTGGGCTCACAAATCACCCATCATGAAGTGGGCAAATGCACTGAAAGAATCTCCAAAAAAATTTCACTGAATTAAAAAAAAAAAAACTTCACTGAAGCTGAATGCAGCCTCTCACAGCAATGCTAGCTGGTACACTGGGTTCCTGGAACACTTAAACCTGGCAGGGGAAGTCTGTACTATAAGGGGCCTGCCCTTGAAAAAGTAATTCCATTTTTTGGGTAGCTCCACCTTCGTGTAGGTTTTTGGAGCACAGTTATGCTCATTTGTTTATACATTGGCTGTGGTGATTTTACTGCTATGATGACAGAGTTGAGTAGTTACCATAGAGACTGTATGACTCTCAAAGCCAAAAGTATTTACTTTCTGGCTTTTTACAGGAAAACTTCACCAATCCCTATTGTAGGTGATAGGAGATGATGATGATGATGACAATGATGACAACTTCTTATCATCATTAGATGAAGGAGATAATGAGGGAAGAGGAAGAGGAAGAAGAGATACTCACTGAGCACTTATCTGAGTAGCAGGCCCTATGGATGCTAAGGGCTGCATATGAATTGTCTTATTTAACTCTCACCATAAACCACTGAGAGAGATTTATTGTCATTTTTCTATTTTTATAAATTAGGAAGGCAAACATGAAAAGTTTAAGTAATTTGTCCAAGATCACCACAAAGTAAACAGTGGAACTAAAGATCAAACTCAGATTCATTCTCTAAAGCATCATTCTACAACAGAAAAATACAAGATTTGATTTTTATGGAACTTTCTAGAGCTCAGCATAGTAGAATGCAGCCCAGAACTGTGAAGAAAGGATTTGGAATTGGGAGACTTGGGGA